TTTAGTTTAGCAGTTTAGATTTGAATTTTAAATTTTAAATTGTGGTTTAAATTTAGCAGTTAATCAGTTTTTAGTATTTGAATGATTTGAGGGATTTCCAAATTTGTATTTCTTATTTCTTTTTAAAGCACTTATGTAATCAGAATTGAGGAAGGAAGATTTAAATCAAGAAAAATATTGTGTTAGCTGATTTTTGGTGTGAAGCATCAGGTGTGAAACCCTAGGCCGACTCTCTCCCTTCTCCTCTACAGTCGCCGACAACCCTCCATGTTTTTCTTTCCTCTACAGCCGCCAATTCCACCAACCCCTGCTCCCTTATCCTCCTCCACACAACGCCCGCGCCCCCTCGCTCCTACTTCCCCTTCCACCGAGCCTTACAACCCTTCACCAGCCACCGCCCCAGTTGCTTCTCCTCCTTACTCAACCGTCGAACCCCAACTCCTACTCACCTCCCAAAAGCGCCAACGCTGCCTCCTCTGCTCCTCCACACCGCGAACCCTCTCTTGCTCTCCTCCTCAACGTTCGAGCATGCGACACATACATCCTCCCCGTCCTCCTTCATATGCCTTGATCAGCCGCACTTCCCCTAACCGCCACTCTTCCTTCTCCTTCCCTGATCAGCCGCCACTTCACCATAAGTCGCCGCCCCACCCCTGTCCTTCTCCTCCACAAGCCGCCGACTCTTCCCTGCTCTCCCTCAACTTCGAGCAGTCACACCGACCTTCCCCTGCCCTCCTCCACTTCCAAGCAATCCCAATACCACTGCGTCGTCGTCTAGTTTGACGTCGTCGCACACGTCATCCAGTTCATCGTAACTCGCCTCACCTCATCGACGTCATATCTCTGCCTCGTTCGTCACCGATTCGAATTTTGATTCCGCGGCTCATTAGTGCATGGCCGATCCTGCAGCCGAAGACGCCTAAATCGTGTACGATCTAGAGACCGGCGTGGTAGATTTGCAGCTCTCTCAGTGGTTCGACTACCAGCCTTTTGACACCCCAGCAGAGTACGTCGATCGCGTGACTCCTCAGATTGCTGAAAGCGTGGAGGGTCATTTGGGAATCAGTTCGTGACACCGGCGCTTCCACCTAGACGCACCACTCCACCCCAGCTACGTAGCTTTCGAAGGGGAACTCTCTCCCCTTATATTCGGCGTCGTCGCACCACCTCCTTGTACATTTGGTCTCTTGGTACATTTGGTCCATTTGGTCCAAGAATGAAGCTTTCTACTCCTCGTGAGATAAGGATACGGGTACTTAAGAAAGAAGTGGTGAACATAGATTCTATTAAGGCAAAACACAAGAAGGCTTGGAAAAAGTATGGTTGCACTCTTATGTTTGATGGATGGTCGGACAGGAAGAGTAGGAGTTTGATTAACTTCCTCGTGAACTTACCAAAAGGGACTTCTTTCTACAAGTCCATTGATGTGTCGCCGGCTATTAAGAACAGAGAATATTTTTTAATGCCTTTATCAAATGGTGAAGGAGATTGGAGAGAAGAATGTTCTCCAAGTCATCACTGATAATCATGCATCCTATGTTCTTGTTGGGAAGAAAATAATGGAGAAGAGAAAGTCACTTTATTGGACACCGTGTGCAGTACATTGCATTGACCTTGTGTTAGAGGACATTGGCAAAATGAAGATACACCGGGACATTCTTGAAGATGCAAAAAGAGTAATATAATTTATCTATAATCATTGTTGGGTCATGAGCTTGATGAGGAAGTACACGAGTGAGAAAGAGTTATTGAGGCCCACTATTACTCGCTTTGCTACATCCTTCTTGACACTTCAGAAATTGTATTCCTTAAAAGAACCTTTGAGGGGCATGTTCTCTTCTGAGTTGTTCCAAAGAAACACTTGGGAGAAGAAGCCGAAAGGAGTGAAGGCAAAGGACGCAGTTCTTTACACTAAACAATTTTGGGGAAAGATGCTTTTTTGCTTCACCATCACACTTCCGCTAGTTCATGTCCTCCGGGAAGTGGATTTAGATTTGAGACCCTTTATGCCATATGTGTATAAGATGATGGACCGTGCAAAGGAGAAGATTGCAAATGCATGTAGTGGAAAGAAGAGACTATACATGCCTTATTAAAGCTAATTAATACTAGATGGACGAATATGCTGCATCAACCTATCTATGTCGCCGTTTACTATCTTAATCCAAAATTATTTTAGGGGGACAAATTTACTAAGGATTTAGAGGTGAAGAAAGGTCTTCGTCTGTGCATGAGTCGCATGATTCCCGACAAGGATGAGAGAACATTAGCTGATTGTGAGCTAGATGCTTATAAGGGAAAATTAGGAGAGTTCGGACATCCAAGGCTCTAAAGACTATTAGTAATCATACACCCAGTATTTATTTACAAATTACTTCAATTTTTATTCTATAATGACGGTGGCTTATTATTTTTCAATGTTTGAATGTATAGCTTCCCAATGGGAGAGATTTGGAGATAAGACTCCGAATCTAAAGCGATTTGCAGTTCGTATTCTCTCCCTCACTACTAGTGCATCCAAATGCGAGCGCAATTGGAGCACTTTTGAGCAAGTATGAAAAAATTTTAATTCTAAAATTCATCTAATATCTTTCATCTTAGAAGCTTATAAGATGTTCTTCTTTGATGAAGGTCCACTCTAAAAAGAGATGTCGTTTGGAGCAAGAACGTCTTAGTTCACTTTTGTCATGTACAAATAGGTTTTAAATGTCAGCCGACATGTCGGTTTGAGGGCTTGAACGACACGACATGGACGTTTTCAACTAGTATGTCGGTTTTCAAGGCCAAATCAGAAATATCGGGGTCATATCGGGCATATCGACTAATTTTTTAGCCTTAAAAAATCGACTGATATGTCCCTTTTTTAGATGTATTTTTTGTTATCGGGTTTGGGTTTAGTGATAAAAACCCAAACACGTTTGACCTGTTCTCATGTTTAAGGGTTTCTTATGAACCCGATAGAAAGAAAAAAGAAAAATTAGGGTTACAGCGGACTTGGGAACCGATCACTCCTTTCATGAACGACGATGCCCTTCTCTCACCTCCATCTCGGACCCCCATCGTTCATCTCCCGTTACGCCTCAAAATCCGAACCCCAACCGAACCCGAGGGCGACAGGGTATCCCGTCATCGGGATAAAAGGAAGAGGGTGATCGGTGACTCATCCGAATGATCCCGATCAGACGAAGAAGAAGAAGAGCCCCGGCACTGCCTCCCTGCGACGTCCCATCGCCAGCACTGCCTCCCTGCGACGTCGGAATTCACCTATCGCCGGCGTCGCCTCTAGAATTTATAAAGTATGCTTATATTGAATTTAGGAATGCTTAGATTATATTTAGGATATGATATTATACATTATGCGCACCACCTGATATGACAATCCGATATTTAGTTCATGTCCCCCGATATATCCCCGATTTCTGCTATCCGACATGGATTTTAGCCGTCCGACATGAACCCGACATCCGACATTTAAAACCTATATCAAGCTAAGAGAGAAATATATAGAGGAAGGCGCGAAAGATGGATCTGATTCTATTGGATGAAATATCTCCCGATGATGAGTGGACAGTCGATGATCCTTGTCTTTCAGACAATCCGAGCTGGCTAGATGGTGATGACAGGGTTAGGGAGTATCTCGATGTTGTTGCAATTAATAGTCTAGCTACTACAGAAGAAAATGAAAATGCTCCGACGGCAAAGAGACAAAAGAGTTGATAGTTCTTGTAAGCTTTCTAGGAACTTTTAATGTCATGTTTATTTGCATAAATACTCAAGTTTGTAATTAAAATTATTTCTACTCTTCTACAACATCCTCCATGTAGAAAGGAAAAGAAATTGCCACTGAAAGTGGATCCCGAAGATGTGAGTTACATTTTAAATGAGGATGACTTGGTTATTTTTTGAGAGATGGATCTAGAGGATGGAGTTTTTTTGTAGTATTTATTAATGCTTGAGAGTTCGAAGTGTTTGGTTCTGTTTAGAGTTATTTTTATTGCTTAAAACTTGACGATGTCAACGTATTTGATCATTTGATAATGCATTTTGGAATAGTCGTTAGTCATATATGACTAATTATTGTTAGGAAATTGTGATATCATACTTCTATAATGGATAATTGTGATGTTATACTTGATAATCTTGGTGATCTTAGTATTAAAGCTATTATGAATTATTAATATTCATAAAATATCTAAATAATTAATAAACAATATAATTTATTTGTCATGTGTTTCGTTTCTTTTGCGTTTTTTTACTTAACCCTTAACAGGAGGTCAGCGTTACATAACTCATTTTAGTTATTTTCAACATAAATCTATCCTTACGCCATCATCATCAATATATGCTTTCATAATGGTCCACATTTTCTTTTGCGTTTTCCACCAATACTCCAACAGCCTTTATCCTTGTGTCAGTGTCAGGGAGAAAAGGGAGAAAAGCACTGACAAATAATACTAAGTTTATTCTTTATAATTATGAGAATTGAAGCTCCGAAATCAAAAGGAAACAACTGTATCACTCCTTTCACATTGATAAAAAATCGAGATGTACCAACAAAATATTACTCACAAAGCTTAAAATATCAGACTAGACATGAAAGTGCATATAACATAATTCATTGTTCTGAGTTTTTATTTCTATGTTCTAGAAAGTTTTGAGTTACTTGAAGAGAAAATTGGGGAAGCCCATTTCTCACATCTCCTACTCCTAGTACCATAGAATTCTAAACAAAGCTTTAGATATTCAGCCTCCATTCAATTGGAATAAAATGCCTACAATATGGAAATCTACTGTATGCTCATGAAGGTAGGTGCATGATTTGACAAAAGTCCCAGACAAACCATGTACAACATTCAAAGTAAGCTACTGGAAGTATAAACAATAAATAGCAACAGACAAACAAGCACATTTAGGACAATTCTATGTCTGCTTCCATATAAGATGTGTGAATCACCCAAAAAAATTAAAATTAAAAAATTAAAAATTGAGCAATAACTTACTTCATTAGAACAAAAACACCTGTAAACATAACCAGAATTCAGTAATTGATCAGCATATTGCTTGTATAGGGAATTCCGTTCCGACTGGCGATAAGGACCAAATTCTCCCCCTACACCAGGCCCTGCAAAGCAATCACATAATTATCATTTTCTGATGGATAAAAAATGATTTATATTTCAGAGGTGATTTCATTTGCACGCAAGCAGATACACAAAGAGAGACTGAGGGAGGGAGACCGGGGATGGGGAGAGGGAAGGACATAAGAAACTAATTTGTTGATAATTTGTCTTTGGATGCAACATACGTTTTAACATTACCTGCAAGATGCTCAATAGAGGAACATTCAACTAAGTTAAGGAACTGATAGAACCATGAAGTACAGGTTTCCACTAACGAAACAGAGTCTGATTGCAGTCTCTACGAAGTTATTATAAGCTCTTAATAACAAGAAAAGCTTAAATGGAGAGAAACTGAAGACATTATATAATAACAAGAAAAGCTTAAATGGAGAGAACAATTTAGGTGAATATGAGTATACCATTAGTGTATAAGCTCTTAGTATAAGGACTCAAATAAATTATCTGCAACTAAGGGTAAACATGCATTGTAATGATACCTCATGAGAAAATCATAATTAATCAGTTAGTTACAAAGTTCAGACTTTGTTTTGAATAACAAAAACCAATTAACGAGCTAGAGAAATGAAATTTAGTTTCAACCGCTTAAGTATACTAACATATACCAACTGTTCATGCTTGTCACAGACTCACACGCATGGTTGTCACTAACTTGCAACACAATAACAATTGTCAAAGGCACTAATTCAACAGCAAGTGGTTAATCGTTAATTATCAGTCATTTAAACCTGAACTTTTTAAACCAGAAATAAAGAACTTGACTGAATGATAGTATAGTTTGTGTCATGTCAGTGAAGAAACTAACAACCAAATAAGTAACAGGAAGAAATATCACTGTAACACCTCCTGGGACATATGCGTCTATTTCCTTCACTTGCGAATCCAGGGAAATAAAGACCTGATTGTAATTATAACTATTAGATACCTCTTTTGCAATTTTTGGGTGACTTAAATCAATAAAAACAACAGAGATCATGCCCACAAGACAAAAGTCACCGGTAAAATTTGGGGACTGGGTAACACAAGATCCCGGATTCGAGACTGAGCTGCAGTCTTTCTCAAAATATAATAAAGTAGATTAATAATTGCAGCCAAGATTCCCCTGTTTGCGTTCACCTAGAAGCAATATAAAAAAATCAAATTGATTACTATGAAATTGAAAAGCAGGTTTCACTAGTCAATCCTGACTTTAAAATAGCAACTTAAAAGACAGCACCCTAAGCAGAGCATCTAATAAACCCACCAACCACCCACTTTTCTTTCCCAATCTCGAAAACTTTCACCCTTTCTGACAATTGGTAAAAAAACCACTTTTCTTGCATTTCCGCAAAGAAATACCTTTTCAAGTGGACAGAAAATAAACAATTCATGTGCAATGTGTTAACAGCAATCAGTAATAACACCACCTTCATCCCAATCGAGACCAAGCCAAGTCAGATCATTCAACATTGCTTCCTCTGACTGCCTTGTCGATCTCTCTAAGTCGGTATCTTCGATTCGTAAAACAAACTTCCCACCTTTCGACCTAGGGTAAAAAAACTGTATTTTTTCAGCTAATACTCAAATAAATTGCTGAAAATAATTCAAAAATCTAAAGTAGGTTACAAAAGGGTAAAAGATTGGACCGTGCAAACAGGTAATTGAAGAGAGCGGTCCTCGCTCCTCCGACATGCAAATTTCCAGTAGGCGAAGGGGCGAACCGAACCCTAACTTGCCCTTCCAATGGACCGCCGATCAAAGAAGAAGCAGATACAGAAAATTTTCTCCTTCTATTGAAAAGATAGGGTTTGGAGACGAAAATTGGGCGGATTCTGGAGGTCTGGAGGTCGGAGAAAACCCTAATTTGGAGCCAACGCGATCCTACGAGGCTCGCCATTTCTTTTGCGTTGGGGAAGAAGAGTTGGAGCTCGCAACTGGGAAGACGATAAAGTGGATAAGGGCCTGTTCGTTTGTTTTCTAAAAACCAAGAAATGGAAATGGAAATGGTGAAAATCTCAAAACTCACCATTTCCTCCATTTCCATCCCTAAAACTCACCCACAACATCCAATAAAATATTATTTCCATCCAACAACTCATCTACATCATCTAATAAAATATGATTTTTATCTAACCACTCATCCATCACATCTAATAAAATATTATTTTCATCTAACAACTCATCTATCACATCTAATAAAATATTATTTTCATCCAAACATCACTCAACTCATCTCTTCTCATCATTTCAAATCACTCACATCATCCAATAAAATATTAGAACAATTCACCTCATCTCATTAACATTTCATTTCTTCATTTTCATCCCAAAAAGTTATGAAAACACTTTTCTTAATCTTTCTTCACATCACCCAATAATACAATAACAACTCATCTCATCTCATTTCATTTCTTATTTTTAAGAATGAACCGAACAAAAGAAAACAAGAAACTACAGGAAATAGGTTTCTTATAATTCATTTCCTTATTTTTTTTTCGCCAACCGAACACTCCAAAACTAGTTTTCTTAAAAAATCACAAACATCATCCAATAATAAGGTGACAACTAACAACATTTCAATTTCATTTCTTTGATTTCCTTCTTTTTTAGCCAACCAAACACTCCAAAAACAATTCTTCATTTTAATAGTTTTCCATTTCTTTGATTTCTCTCTTTTTTTAGGCAAACGAACAGGCCCTAAGTGGAAGCTAAACGGATCGGTCTGAAGGCCCAATACGCCAAGCCCAAGGCCGGTTATAGTTAAGGGCGTGTCAGACCATCTCCAAGGGATCCTTTGGATTAGGCTGAGCATGGTTCGGTCCAAACCGAAAAAACCGACCGAACCGATCCGAACCGATCCGAAAAAATCAATTTTATGAGTAGGACGGTTCGGGTCGGTTTGAAAACTTTTTGACCCGAACCGATCCGAACCGACCGAATATAGTGCAATACTACCCATTCTGATCTCAAACCCTACCCGACCCGTCCCCAAAGAGTCAAAGAGTCAAACCCTAAACTTATTTTCTGAATCATTATGGGTTGAAAACAATATCATTATATCAGTGTTTAATGTTTCATAATCTCCTACTTTGTTGATCTTTTTTTTTTCTTTAACACAGTTTGTTGTTTGATAAGAAGTTTGATGAAGTTAGAACCGAACAAACCGAACCGAACCGCACCGAACCGACTTGCAACAGTTCGATTCAGTTTTGAATTATAGGCGGTTCGGTTCGATTGTTCAAAATTTAGTAAAAACCGAACCGAACCGACCGTTGCACACCTCTACTTTGGATGTCTCTTAATTGAGGGGGAACTTTAAACGAGGGGTTGGTTCTCTTCCAATAGTTCTTCCTTAAAAGTCCCCTACCCTTTAATTAATTATGTTTAGCTTTTTAACTTTAGAGATTAGAATTTAATTAAATATGTGATTTATTTATAAATGAATAAATAATTAAATATTAATAACTAAAAATAATTAATTAATTAATTAATTTAAGAAAATTACCTTATATAATCCTTAAATTAATTAATCATATTAAAATTTAACAAATAATTAATTTAGATAATAATTAATTTATATAAATTGTGTTAAAAGTTAAATATTATTTTAAATTTAAATTCATATTATTTTTATATTAATAAAAATTTATAATAAATTATAAGTGGTACATTTTAAAAACTATTAATTAAATTAAATTAACTATACATTAACTTAATTATATTATTTTAAATTACCTATACATTAACTAAATTTAATTAACTATAAATTAACTCTAAAATAAAATATATTAATATAAAATTATAAGGGGAATGTTAAGGGACTTTAACCTTCCCCTTAATTTAGGGAGGAAGTTAAGGGACTCGGGGGGTGAAGGGGAAAAAATCCGGTCCCTTGGAGCCAATCCCCCTTAAATGTCCCCTAATTTAGCTAAGGGGCCGGATTTTTCCGGCCCCTTGGAGATGCTCTTAGGCAAACTCCTAGTACAGGACTGACTCAATTTGAGGTTTGTTTTTAATTGGTAAAAATTGGACCAATTTTGACTTATCTATGCTACTTCTAAAAGAGAAAACAAATGTTAAAACTTTTACATACCCATTTTGTCATTTACAAATTTATTAATTCTAATTTTTTTCATGTATTTGATGTTAAAACTTTTCTTTCTATAGTGCCCTCAATGAAAATATCAATTGACAACAATAATATCACATCATCAATACGTTATATCTAATTCTATTGCTATAGGTATAATACACATTGAAAGCACATTTACTATTAATTATCAAGGTCAAAAATGACCAAAGTTGGATGGATGTCATATGAGGCGAACTTTCATTAGGATCAGCAAATTCTACCTCTCACAACTTCACATCTTGACCTTGCAATCTAATTAATTGAAATCTCTTTCTATTCCAATGTCTCCCCCACCACAGATGATCTCTAAAATTCGAATTAATTGACACCTTTCAAAATTTATTTGATACTCATTGAAATAGATACTCGATATATTATTTAACTTTTGCTTTTCTAACACGTTTAGAGCTCTCTTTTGTAACATTCGGAATATGAATCCATTGTAATTAGTCATCATTAGAGCTTATGGCACCCCTACAACTCCATCTGTTTCATTCTGAGCATAATAAAACCTCCTCCTCCCCCAACTCCCCCAACTCCCTCAACTCCATCCGATGGAGGATTAGCAGAGGTGGTGGGCTGGTCCTGAATTTGGAGCTCATTTGGCGGAGAAAATGATGGTGGGTTCTCTTGAGATAGTGGGCCAGTGATTAGTTTGGAGGGATGAATGGCCGAGCTAATGTGGATTTTGAGGTGGTGGTGATGAAGTTTTCGGTGGAGGGAGAGGGAGAGGGAGAGGAAGAGATCGTACGAGGTTCAGTGATGATCATGGTTCCATTGATTCGTATATGTTGCCATACCTCCAATTCACACTCAATTAGAGGACTCCATTCGGGTGTATTAGGTCATTTTATTTGCCTCAAAATGAACTTATGATCAAGGCAAATACTGTTAAGAACTGACTGGCTTGGTTGGGAAGAGAATTTCCAATTAGGAAGTTCAGAAGCTATGGTTGGGTCCACTCTTATGCGGATAGATGGTGGACGAGGATGACAAGTTACATACTCGACCGTTGGGGAAGTGAATTGGCTGACAAAGGATTATTTGTTCCCATTCGTGCTAGTATGTATAGGTTCCCGATCAGTGTTGACCACTTTCTCGCCTTGTTTGAGACTTATAATCCAAATACCAATACGTTCTTTACTAATAATGGAGAATTAGGTCTCCCACTCCATGAGATGATGAAAGTATCTAGATTGCCCATGGGAAACATACCTTATCAAGAGCTCTTCCCGACAATCAGTTAGCTTAATCGGATGAAAGAGACGGCTAACGTCATTCATGATACTCTATGGGAGTTAACTTGCCATTATCAGACTGCCATGGCCGAGATGGAGATAAAAGCCAAGAAGAAATCTTGGCAAATCAGACTAAAACAGTTTGCAGACTATCTCTTCTAAAAACTGGAGGATCACTCTGGCCATGAGGTATGTGAATTATCACCTTTAACCCTATCAGAGATAAACAAGTTATTGGTGAAGACAAACGCCCAGTCATACACTACTCGTTTGACCTAAGGTGGATTCTCTAAGGGTACGAAGTTTGTATCATTCTTGTGGCAGACTCAGAAAAGAATCTCACCAACAACTCTTTTAGCTGGGTATTTGGCCATTTGGCTAAAGAGATGTGTAATCCCTCACCAACCTTCTGATGCTTTGCCAATCAAAGTTTTGTATCCGGCAGTTCAGTTGGCAACTGGACGTAGGCTCTCTCTACTCCCAGTAATGAATGTAGATATCCACAGTGGACTCCGCTACTTAGCCACCACTTCTACACAGGAGGGGAAGAAACCTTCAAATGAGATTTTGATCCCCAAAATTGAGTTACCCTACACCTATCTAATGACTTATTTAGTTCTCCATCGGCCGGACTTAATGTCAGCTCCTGAAGCTGCCAACCTAGATCTTCCTTTGTTACAAATTTTAGAAGAGTGCAAGTGGTCGGCCAGGCAATGACATGATGTGTCTCGGCAATTTTGGGTTCACAACTATAGGGAGTTCTTCTCGTGCTTCCCTCAATTCTCCGGGACTTATAATAATATGCTCATGGATGCTGAAGAACCCAGAACCAGAAAGAACAGGATCGTATTAGATGTAGGATGTTTTAGGTGGTTGATGAACATCCGTCCTGGCTACTTGGTTTTTAGAGTCAAAAATGTATGCAACATCGAGCTGTATTTACCTTACAGATTTGCTTGTCAGTTTGGTTATGACTAACTGTACGTAGGCAACCCGAATAAGTGGATGAGAACTTGTGGAGGTCTCATCGACGGAGCACGGGCCTGGTTTTGGAGCATAAGTGGCTGCACCGACGCTCGGTTTGATCTTCCTATGGCTGTCCCTTTCCTGCAAATGAATTTTCTATATTGAAAATGTCTGATATCTGGTAATGCAACCACAAGGAAGAAAAGAATCTCAGAGTTGGAAGCTAAGGATGCATCTCGAATTGCTACCGAAGCAGTCCGAGAGACCGTACTCTCAAGGAAAGGAAAGAAACTCGTCGAATCTTCCAGTAAGGGAAAGCAAATCACTGGTTCTGATGAGAGTGAGGGGGAGCTCCATATTGATATAGTTGGAACATCTAAAGAAGAAGGTGAGGATGAAGTTGGGGCTGAAGGTGAAGCTGAGGGTGTTAGAATTGACTATGACGAGGAGGAGGAAGTGGCTGGTCTCCCACCTTCTTTCTTTCTAAGAGGATATGTGAGTTCTCTTGTAGCTCACATTACTCGCCGTGCAGATCAACCTAAATTGCCAGGAGCTCTAAAAAGCAAGAAGGAAAGGGTGGTTCTGACATCTCCCAATCGAATGACAGTAGAAGTTCTTAGTGGAGAT